CCACAGGGCTCTGGGAGCAGAGAGACCCTGCACACAGCCCCTCCACCATCCCCCAGGGACCCAGAGACACTGCCAAGGTCAAACAGGTCACCAGCAACCAAGGGCCATCCCTGGGCATGCCCCAAGCACCAACCACTGGCCCTGCAGCTCCTCCACCTCCATGGGGACACCTTGGCCACCAACCGCCCTGCTGGGCCCCCCATCTCCCCTCAGGAGGCTTCCCCTTCCCTCCAGGAAGCCAATGGGGGCATTGACATTTGACTCCCCATGCACACTGCACCCACAGGGCCCCCTTTCCCTGTGGCCCCCTGCCTGGGAACACCCAGCACCCACCCACCCACCTGCCCAGCTCCTGGGCACTCTCTGCTTGCCCTGCCCAAGGACGGCACAGACACCTGTCCCTCCCCGCCCATGCCCCATCCTGGGCTCCATCAGCTGCTGCTCACAGGCCCGCGCCAGGGGTTACCTGATCAGCAGAACGACGGGGACTCCTCTACTCCAGCGCAACAGGTGACCCAGGACAACAGCGGGGGAGCTGCCCATATATACCTTGTGGCCAGCTCCCATTGGCTGGCTCCGAGCAGCCAGCCGACCCCGATTGGACACTGCTGCCGCCAGCCCAGCACAAAATTTGGGGATGTCTCCAGCTGGCCTGGCTGGGTGCCCGAGGGCTGCGGGATCTCGGCCCGGCTGTATCCCAGTGACGAACAAAACAGACAAAGAGCACAGGGAGAAATCCCAGCTGGTGCATTGTGACCGGCCCGGTCCGTCCCACCCGCCCCCCGGGCCATGACCGGCCGGGTCCATCCCACCACCCCTAAGGCGACAACCGGCTGGGTCCATCCCACCACCCCCCGGCCCACGACCAGCTGGGTCCGTCCCACCATCCCCTGGGCTGTGACCTGCTGGGTCTGTCCCATCCACTCCGAGGGCCACGACTGGCCAGGTCCATCCCACCCCCTCAAGGCCACGACTGGCTGGGTGCATCCCACCCCCACCAAGGCCACGACCGGCCGGGTCCGTCCCACCTACCCCTAGGCCAGACCGTCCAGGTCTGTCCCACCCTCACCCTGGGCCATGACCAGCTGGGTCTGTCCCACCACCCTCCGGGGCCACAATCAGCCGAGTGCCTCCCACCCCCCACTGGGCCACAACTGGCCAGGTCCATCCCATCCACCCCCAGGCCACGACCGGCTGGGTCCCTCCCACCACCCCCTGTGGAAATGTCCTAGAAGGGAGCTCTCCACCGGCAGCCCTGGCCGGAGATCCCTGCATGGGGAGGGGCAGGGTGGCAGGCTGGAAAAATAACCTCCCTGGAGCAGACCCTGCACTGACACACCAGCCCCAGGCACCAGCCCCTGAAGCCCTCCAGCCCCCCGTGACAAAGTGAGAATTTTCGGTGCAATATTTATGAAGCCCACACATGCCTCAGTTTCCCCATGTACATTGCAATGCTACGGGGGAGGGGGGTTAAAGAGTTACGTCTGCTCTTGGGGTGAAACAGGGATATGGGGGCACCTTGCTGTCTAGGGTGCAATAAATGGGTCGTTAACACCAACATCCATATAATTGGGGGGAGGGGCAACCCCGCCTACTCAACCCCACCCACTCAACCCCCCCATACAGGAACAGGGGCTGAGTGTTTCCTGCATCTGTCCCCTCCAGACAGACTGCTCCCTAGTGCCTGCGTCCTCACTGACAGTCCCTGCTGTGGGCCTCGGGGGCGTGATCACTCCAGGCATGGGGGGCAGGGGGGAGCCCCTAGAAGGAGGGGAGGAGAGGCCCACAGAGCCCCTGGTGTGAGGGATGTTAGAGGACCCTGGGATGGCAGAACGGGGGGCATGAGGGGTACTCCCTCCCAGAGCCTCTGGTATGGGAGGCAGACAGAATCCCTGGCAGGGGCTCAGAGGGGGGTGGGGGCCCCCAGGGAGGATGGAGGGATGCAGGGAGTCCCTGGCGGGTGCCATGCACTTGGCCGGCACCAGCTAGGAAACATGTGACCCTCTAGCAATGAATAAAAATGAAGCCAACTAAGCCCCGCCCCCTTGGAGCCCCCTGCCCGTCCCCCCTCTCCCCCCCCCCACAGCCAGTTGGAGCTGTGCAGACAGTGGCCATCCCATTGACACACCACCCCTGGCCCCAGTGACCCCCAGGCCGGGCAGGGGAAGGAGGGACCACTGAGAAGAGGGGCCAGCGGATCCGGCACTGGGGCCCTGCCAGTGTTGGAAAGGGTTGGGTTAGGGAGTGGGAGCCGCCCCCCAGGCCATCCAGCTCCCAGCCAGCTTGGAGCCCGGGGCTAGGCCAGCTGAACTGGGCCTGTCAGCACATGGCCCCCGCCCCCCGCAGGCCAAGCGGCCCAGCTCTTTATATAGGCAGCAATGCCAACCCTCCGCTTGCTCTGCAGCTGGCCTGGACCCAGAGCAGCTTGGCAGCCTCCCGCCAGCCCCGGGCTCCAGGCCTGAGCCCAAAACAGCCCGGCTCGGGTTTCCCGGCCCCCGACTCCTTCCTAACGTGGAGAGGGGCCGTGAGCGCCCGCAGCAGCTGCCTCTGCAGTGATTTATGGGAATGCGACCCGCAGCTGGGCCGCGGCGCGGGGCTCCCAGTCCCTGCCTGGGCCAGGGCTCACCTGTTCCCTTCCACCTGACCTGTGGCGTGGGGCCCTTGCTGGGGACCTCCAGGGCCGAAATGGGGAACGGAGACCCCCCAGCTAGTGCCCAGGGCCCTGCCCGCCTCCCTGCTGACAAACAGAGCCCTAGCCGGGGGGACTGGCTGCAGCTCTGGGGGGACATGGGGGGGAGTTTGCCCCAGCCCTCCCTTCCTACTGCCTCTCCCAGAAGGGCAGGGCCTGGGCCCAAGCTCCTGTCCACATATCCTGGCTGAGCCACCCTGGGCCCTCAGGCCACGTTCATGTTCTGCAGCCCAGGGCTGCAGTTGAGGGGGCGCTGGAGGGAATACGGGGGGGGGGGAGGGGGCACTACTCTCCTTGGGGAGGCCTCAGTTAAACTACAAGGCATTCAATAGAGCCAAGCGATCACCGATCTGTGGAACGTGCTGCCGCAGGATGTTGTGACGGAGTGGGAATTTTTTGTATTATTTTGATGAGGCTGGTGTGTGCCTCAGTTTCCCCCTTTTCCTTGCATGGCTACCCTGTTGAGGGGGAAAGGGATGAAGTTTGCTCTCTGGGCCCCCTAAGAGACACAGGTGGGGGGCGTCACCTCCCTGTGTGTGGGGAATGAAGAGTCCTTAAGGACCCAGATCAACAAGGGGCCAGAGAGACGCTAGCTCCAGTGAGCCCTGGATGGACACGCCCAGCAGGGAGCTAAGCAGAGCCCCCAGTTTGAGAACAAAGGATGGGAGCAGGGTGGGGGGTGGGGGTAGGAGCCGGCTCTGGAAGGAGTGGGGGGCTCTCACCTGGGAACTGACCAAGGAGGTCACATGGGGAGAGACACAGAGCCCGGCCATCGGGTTCACTCCAGCTTGGCCGGGCCTGGACTGACCAGGCCGGATGATGCTTCAACCTCTGTGTCTCGGCGCTAACCTGGGGCCATCCCGTGTGGGCTCCAGGGACCAATAAGCTCGACTGGTCTGGTCTGCCCACGCTGCCAAGCATCCCTGCAGGTGCTGCTGGGGCGTCAGTCCCTGCAGGGGGACAAGGCTCTTCCAGGCACCTGGCTGGCCCCGCTGGGCCGGCCACGTGACTTCCCCGCCTCCAAGACTGAATGGCTGGGCTCCAGCCAGGGTTAGGGGAGGTTTTCAGGGCCTGGCTCAACAAGACAGGTTAAAGGGGGCCCAGGCTGGCCGCACGGGTAGACTCAGTGGTATCTCAGCACATCAGGTGGCTTCCCAAGGGGTTCAACCCGTCACACAGAGACCTCTGGCCCGGGGCAGAAGGTCTCTACGATTCTGGCCCTGCCCAGGCGGGAGATCTCTGGGATTCCCGCCCTGCCCAGGTGGGAAGTCTCTGAGATACCGGCCCTGCCCCTCCCACCAAGCTTGTGCATTTGACGGAGGTACCAACTTCTCTGGAAGACGTGGTGGAGGACAAGCTTTGCGCAGAGAAAAGTGTAACCCGCATCTCTCCTATACACCCAGAGGCCATCGACTCCAGCGAGCGCTAGTACGAGCTACAGACGCTTCAAAAGCCAGTAAAACGCCCTACATGCGATGGATTTGTTAGACTCTTTCTTCAGCAAGAGTCCAAAAGGACTGAACGTCTTGGGGGGCGGGGAGGGGAGGAGAACATACACTGGGACTGAAGTTCAAATGAGTCCAACCTGAGAAATGCCGCTGGCTTGCTCATGAGTGATCCTTGGCTGGTGTCTTAAAATTACCGCAACCATTGCTACATGCAGGGGCTGAGGGATGGACCCACGGGCCCCTCACTGGGGGGTGCTGCCTGCGGGTTTGTGTGCGGGCTTGAGGGCCCGATCCTGCCCGTGTAGCATGTGAGGGCCCGATCCTGCCTATGCAGTGTGCTGGGCTTGAGGGTCCTGATCCTGCCTGTGCAGTGTCTGGGCGGGGGTCCCGATCCTACCTATGCAGTGTGCTGGGCTTGAGGGTCCGATCCTGCCTGGGCAGTGTCTGGGCGGGGGC